TTAAAATTCAATACAAAACATGTAATTAATAAACAAAACTTTAAATCACACCAATCAAATGAAGGAAAAGAAGGAAAAGAACAGAGAGAGAAGGGTAAAAAATAAATCACACCAATCAAACCCAAAGAACATAGAGTGGGGTTGGAATTGCAGCAAGCCAAATGACAGTAAGGGAAAAATAGAGAGAGAAGGGGAGAGGCAGAAATCGAGTGAAAAGGCTCAATCTTACCTTGCAAGAGCAGCGTCGGTAGCGTGGACAGCGAAGGGAGCCGAGTTCGAAGGGTTGTAAGGGAAGGAGGAGTAGCGTAGCGAAGAGGGAGGGTGGGTATCGAAGGGTTCGAAGGGTCTTCAATGGCTGTGGTGATGAGAGACAATGTGACAGAGAACGTGAGAGAGAGGGAGCTGGGGAAACGGGTGGGAACTAAATGTATATAGACCATCGATCTAAATGTATATGAACTTAGGATTCATCTTGGCCGTTAAAACCAAATGTATCTCTGATACATTTGGGACATTTTCAAAAACTTTTCTTCCATATTATATAGATTCTCATATATTTCTGCATTATCTCAAATAAAGCATACTCAACTCTAAATTGGGGGAAAAAAAAAACTCTACAATAATCCATCAATAAGTCTAGAATACTTACAGTCAAAGTAGATAAGTGTAGATAAAGAATCACCCGAGAAGTTGTTTATTCTGAACAATACAAAGTCATAAAGCAACCTGCAAAAAAATTTACATTATTACACCAAAAAAATATAATGCAAAATAATGTTTAATTTAGTTGGAATATTTAGTATTACAGAAAGTATAATTAACAGTATTACAAAAAAAAATACAAAAATACATATCTTCATGACCCTGAATTATGGGGAAAAGCCCCAAAAAGCCCAAAAGTTTTTTAAAACTGAATTATGGGTTTTATGATTGGTAAGCCTACCCACCATATGTCAATTAACAATTGCAATTTTCACTACTCAAATAATACCTTAAAAAAAAACAACAACAACAACATGGGTAGGGAAGTTGGTTTACTTAATTAACATATCCTCTTGGATCGTGACAGATCTCCACACCTGTGCCAAACCAAAAAATTGAATAGGAGAAACAAAAATAAAATAAAAAGTAAGTGAAAAAAATACCAAATAGAAACATACCAAACAGGACAAACTCTATTATTATTTAGTAAGTAGTACAGAAGCACACAAAATAGAAAAGTAGAAACCTAAGAGACTTAGAATACTCATAATGAAAAATAAATAGTAACATTGAAACAGATTTGATGTACATAAAGAAAATTAAAAATTACAGAATTAAATAGCCAAAGAATTATTAAACAGATTTATTCATCTTACTCTTTGAAGACTCATTATGATTTGTCTAGTAGTTAAATAAAAAACCATCAGTTTCCGGTCCAAAAATAAATAAATAAATAATTGAAGATAAATTATATAAATAGTCTCTGTAGTTTACACGATATTTTGCATTTGATACCTATTATAACAATCACATTTTATACTACTCAAACAATACCTTTTATAAAAAAAAAAATCACAATTTTTCCAAACATGGCCAGGAGGTTGGTTTACTTAATTAACATGCCCACTATGAGGCCCACCTAGTGCTTCAAACAACCATTCATTTGTAGGGTTCACCCAGAAAATAGTTCCTATAAAATTTTTGATTAATTTGATCAAATTTATCTTAGAAAATTGAACAGATAATATAAATTCTAATATAGGTAATTTATTTAGTTGTTTTATAAGATAAATGTAATCCAATTATATGAATTTCATTGTTCAATAAACTTAATTTTTGTATATAGATACCCTTTTCGGTAGATTTTACTGTATAAACTATTTGTATCATTCAATATGGATTGTAAAATGAGGAGCTCAACACAATTTCATTTTTTGTCTTTTGTTTATCAAAAATGATAAAAATGGGGGGAGATCATACCAAGTGCTTTGTGACAAATAGATCAAACATCTATACAAAGCCATACTCTTGGAACACTTACAATA